AGCCTCGACACTCATCTCTACCAAGTTGGGGTATCGATCCCCGACCTTTGCACCTGGAGCCTCGATACCCAACTAGTGACGTGCCAGTCTTTTTGGCCCTGTTAGTTCTCCATTTACTGTATTACATCCCGAAACTCTCACCAGAGTCCTACTACATACTTTCTAGGCCATGACCCATGCAGCACTCAACTCACAATAAAACCAGCATGCTTCCAGAACCAAAAACAGTAAGCTAAAAATGAGATGACAGGTCTACATGCATGCGCAACACAACAGATTTCTCCCATATTATTTCAGTATGCTTTTATGAACACAACCATACAATGATAAAACCATTCATAATCCATAATGCTTACAGAAATCTCACTAAGCATCAAATCCAACAACGCAAAGCAAATCAATTATAAACAACCAGAACCAACATGATTTCATTCAACTAGTTATAATCATTAGCCAATATTCACTAAGACACAATCAACTTACATATTAATAAATAATAAACATACCGAAAGCACCAAACAATTCATACATATTCATACAACAAACATCCCCCAAGTAAGAACTACTTACCACTCTCAATGTTCCTAATTCTTCGGTTGATTCGGCACCTAGGCATTCAAATAAAAAAAAAGCATGTCAAGAAGACAATTTCAGTCATAAAAATCAGTTATAAGGAGGGTTCGAAAGGTCCGTTACCACAAAAACGATTTCGTTTGAGTGTGGGTAACTCATATCTAACTCGAGCAAGGGTGGGTAACGTAGATCGGGTTTCAAACGGGTGTGGGTAAGTGCCAAACACCACGAAACTGCTGCTGTCCACGTTTTGCAGCAGAGGAACGCATCGAAACAACTTCCAACGACTTCGTTTTGCTATCCGTTACTACAAAACGACTTCGCTTAGGTGTGGGTAACTCTTATCTAACTCGAGCAAGGGTGGGTAACGTAAATCGGGCTTCGAACGGGTGTGGATAAGGACCAAACACCATGAAACTGCTGCTGTCCACGTTTTGCAGCAGAGGAACGCATCGAAACAACTTCCAACGACTTCGTTTTGCTATCCGTTACTACAAAACAACTTCACTTATATGTGGGTAGCTTAGATCTAGTTCGGATAGGTGTGGGTAAGGGTCGAATATCACTGCAATGAAGAAAAACACTAC